ACACAAGGGAATGAAATCACTTTCAAAACTGATTGAAAAGAAAAAAAAATAAAAGCCTCTGTTCTGTAGGATTAGCCTGAGGGACTCGCTGCCACATGGGGTAATGAGGCTGGGACCAAATACGTTCCTGTATTCACACCCTACGTACTATTGTAATAATCTTTGTACAAAGTATGCCTTGTGAGGTATAATTCGAAAACTCACAAGTTGTTGATCAGTATTGTCCTGATAAGCTATGTGTCTCAACATTGCATGTAAAGCTTTATAAGATTTCCCTGTATGATGATACTGACCTGTGTTCCCAACCCCACAGCCTTGCGCACGCAGAACTTGGCAACCAGGTGTGGTCTCGAGAAAGGAATGTGCCTCCCTGAATTTGCATTTAATCTGAAAACCGTCATCGATCAGGGAGGGAAACAAAGGAAGCTCAATCATGTGAGGAAAAGCCAGCTGTGAACGTCCTTCCACATAAACTCTGTGTGTCCTAGTGCCCAGCTGGAAATGTTTTTCAAGAGTGAGACTGAAACTATAAAAAGGAGGAACAACCCCTCCTTCCCTGCCCATGGCATTCACTGCACCTGAAGAGAGACAGGAAGTATTCACTGGATGCCGAGGAAGAGGGCCTGACATACACAGTTTGATCTGGAAGGAAGCTGAAAGCAGGTGGTGAGAAACTTTGCTTGAATAGGATATAATTTAAGTTAGGCACCAGTAAATGTTTCATCTTTATTTTCTTTGTAAGCGTTTCTGACTTTTATTCCTCATGAGTTGGATTCACTTCAAATCTCTCTCTTTGTAGTTAATAAACTTGTTTTATTCTTTTATCTAGTCTAGTGTGTTTGAATGGAAGTGTCTGGGTAACTGTTTTGGGGTGGTAAATTGTGTGCACAGGAATAATCTTACAGGAATGATGGACTTAATATGATTTGTAGGGTCCAAGAGAGGGCTGGGCAGTACAGGACATAGATTTCTGGGAGAAAATCTAAGACTGGGTGTGTGCTGGGGTCACCCTGCTGTATAACCCGGCTGGTGAGAGCCAGAGTGTAACCCAGGTGTGGTTAACAGACTGCAGTTACACACACACACTCAGGGTGTGAGTTGCACGCTCTTAGGCTGTTTGTGAGTGGCCCAGGTGGGAGTTATTTCAGTGAGACTTTGTAAGACACTCAAGGCTGCAGGGCCGGGGGGTGACAGAGCTGCTCATTAGCCTGGATTGTACCCTGGCATGCCAGAGATGTGTAAACAGGACTCTCACGTGGGAGTAAAGGGGTTATATTCTCTCGGTGTTTGGCACTGGCGGGACCGCTGTTGGAAAGCTGTGTTCGCTAAGCAGTGTGACATAATGTCTGTGCCACTCAGGAAAGACAAGAAGTCCAGGCACTTTAGTGCTATAAGGCCAATGTCATCACTTCCATGACATAATTAATCTAAGCAGTCCATGGCGTAGGCTCACCCACAGTCATTCCTCAAGCCTACTATGGGCTTTCAGCTCCTAGAGAAATGTGTTTCCCAGATAGTCTCATTAAAGTTCCTAAATTCCCATCCATCATCTTGGTAGAGGGCTGGTGGGTTCATTTTGTGCCTCCTTAATGATAAAATATGAAGACTTTTTTTTTCAAAGCAGCTCTTGTTGTTTTTTTTAAATAGCAAGTCATCCAGCCACACTCAACACCCCCCGCTCCCCCGCTGTAAAGCTGAGCTGGTCACTTGGCCTCTGGTCTCCTTGCACCATAACAAAGACCTTGGAGGGCCGTGACAAGCATTCATAAAGCACTCCTTATAGTAAATGATCATTAGTGTTAGTCCAGGGGGATTGTTCTCTCCTTCTCTTTCTAGAACGAGGTAAAATGATACAGGAAGCCCAAGAAGAATGTTGGAAACTGCCCCTCTCCCCCAATTCCCATTCTGCTGATGAGTCTCCCCTAATACAGAGCCTTGTGAGTTTCCTAAGTCAATGTTCTGTCTGGGGCTGGAGGCTTTGAGATACATTTTTGCGAATACTTAGTGTACGAAAGTACAATGGGACGGGCTTTAGAGCACCCAGACTGCTCTCGTGCATTCAGCCTAGCCAGATGATTGTATGTTGGGGCAGGGCGGGAGGATGAACTTGATTCCCCTTGGGAAAATGACCGTCACTGAAAAATCCTGGGATAGTCTCAGCTCCTGTTCTTTAGTCACTTCCTGTTCAGCCCAGGGTTTCCTTTTACAGTCTGAATGAAATGTATTCATAGATTCATAGATTTCTAGGACTGGAAGGGACCTTGAGAGATCATCGAGTCCAGTCCCCTGCCCGCATGGCAGGACCAAATACTGTCTAGACCATCCCTGATAGACATTTATCTAACCTACTCTTAACTATCTCCAGAGATGGAGATTCCACAACCTCCCTCGGCAATTTATTCCAGTGTTTAACCTCCCTGACAGTTAGGAACTTTTTCCTAATGTCCAACCTAAACCTCCCTTGCTACAGTTTAAGCCCATTGCTTCTTGTTCTATCCTTAGAGGCTAAGATGAACAAGTTTTCTCCCTCCTCCTTATGACACCCTTTTAGATACCTGAAAACTGCTATCATGTCCCCTCTCAGTCTTCTCTTTTCCAAACTAAACAAACCCAATTCTTTCAGCGTTCCTTCATAGGTCATGTTCTCAAGAACTTTAATCATTCTTGTTGCTCTTCTCTGGACCCTCTCCAATTTCTCCACATCTTTCTTGAAATGCGATGCCCAGAACTGGACACAATACTCCAGCTGAGGCCTAACCAGCGCAGAGTAGAGCGGAAGAATGATTTCTCATGTCTTGCTCACAACACACCTGTTAATACATCCCAGAATCATGTTTGCTTTTTTTGCAACAGCATCACACTGTTGACTCATATTTAGCTTGTGGTCCACTATAACCCCTAGATCCCTTTCTGCTGTACTCCTTCCTAGACAGTCTCTTCCCATTCTGTATGTGTGAAACTGGTTTTTCCTTCCTAAGTGGAGCACTTTGCATTTGTCTTTGTTAAACTTCATCCTGTTTACCTCAGACCATTTCTCCAATTTGTCTAGATCATTTTGAATTATGACCCTGTCCTCTAAAGCAGTTGCAATCCCTCGCAGTTTGGTATCATCCGCAAACTTAATAAGCGTACTTTCTATGCCAATATCTAAGTCGTTAATGAAGATATTGAACAGAGACGGTCCCAAAACAGTGCGGAACCCCACTTGTTATACCTTTCCAGCAGGATTGGGAACCATTAATAACAACTCTCTGAGTACAGTTATCCAGCCAGTTATGCACCCACCTTATAGTAGCCCCATCTAAATTGTATTTGCCTAGTTTATTGATAAGAATATCATGCGAGACCGTGTCAAATGCCTTACTAATGTCTAGATATACCACATCCACAGCTTCTCCCTTATCCACAAGACTCGTTATCCTATCGAAGAAAGCTATCAGATTGGTTTGACATGATTTCTTCTTTACAAATCCATGCTGGCTATTCCCTATCACCTTACCACCTTCCAAGTGTTATTCAAGTTGTAATCACACCCACCATTCCCCTATCTAACTCACATGCACTCTTGTATTCCTTATCCATCCCCACTTCCGAACGCTCTCACAAGTCATGGCTACATCTTAATCCTGTCCTTCATAACTGAATCTGGCCTTGGCGTCCCGATTTCTATATACTAAGGTACTTCTAAATTGCTGCTCAGTCTCTTCATTCTTTTAACATTCTCCAGAGTTAATCTGTCATGTGGATTTTGTCATAATTCAGCAGATTATAATAAAGCCAGGGATATCTTGCTTTGTCTCTGCGGCATTCTGGCATCTGCGTGAGCTGCATGGAGCTTGCTCTGTGCTCCCCATTGCATGGAAGATTTTGATAAAGCGATGTGTACCTCCTTGGTAGAGGGAAGGCCAGCTCCCTCTATAGATAAGTATAGAAAATGAAGCGGGGAAAAAATCAGTCTAATGTGTGAGCTGTTTCTATAGGAATATCTAATATGAAATTAACCAGACTGTCCACTGGGAGGAACTGTTACCATTACACATACAGCTGATCCATTTTCAAATTGCAGTACAAACCAGTCTTTGAAAGGGGGTGTTTCAGGCAAAGCATTTTAACATGAGCTATAAAAATCTAGGCTTCAGAGGGAGTCATGCATGGCTATGGAATCATCAGGCCACCTGTTTGCAGAGGCGAAGGGTGTATGTGTGAGACACAATCAATGTTTGTGCAAGCCAGGTGCTCTGAGCAGGGGGTTGGACTGGATGACCTCCTGAGGTCTTTTCCAGCGTAATCTTCTATGAGTCTATCATTCTAAGGGGTCAGGAGGGAAGAAATCCTAACTATACAGAAGACATAGAAGCCATTAGGGTAGTGTGGGGGAGATGGTTGTGGTTTATTGTTAACAATAATGATCCCCGGGTAGGGGGAGGGGGGAGACAGCCCCAGGGGTTAAAGAAACTGAAGCCAACAGGAGCTGACAAACGAGCAGCCTCAGAACTAGGCTTCACTGCTTCCTGTCAGCAACAAAAGTTCAGCACTGAACTAATTAACGCTGATGTTAACTCTACAGTTTAACAATGACATTTGAATGCTCTGATATGATTCGCAGGAGGGAGGGGAGTTAACGCCTCTCAGCTGTAAGTTCAAGCTGTCTGGTTTGCACTTAGTTCTGGCTGTAAGATTATCTTTGCAACCACAAGCGCTAGCAATTACCAAGCCTTCACTAGTTTAGATATTATGGAGTGGTGGCCAGCGCACAGCAGTGAAGGTTGCAAGTGAATCGCTGGTATAAGTCTGATGTTAGCCCTATCTTAAAATCCATACAAAGGAATAGCTGCATCAGTCAATCAGTCCATACTGCCCTGCTCTTCCTCTGCTGGCTCCCAGAATCTCTCTCCTTTTCTTTGTGCTCCACTTCCCCCTGAGCCGCACAGCCGGTCTCTGGCTCCCACTTTCCTAGCCAGCACCCTGAAGTCACTCTGGTCCCACATCTCTCTCTCTCTACCTTGCCTAGGGTTAACATATTTCAGATTCCCCAAAAGGGTGGTGGTGGAGGAGGGAGGAGAGGGGTACAGTAGGGGGTGTCTGTGTCCTGAAAGGAGTACCTGGGGGCTGCTGGAGCATTTGAGGTGCTGGAGGGGAGTGTGTATACTGAAAAGGGGTGCTGGAAGAGGTATTTGGGGATACTGGAGGGGTGTGTGTGTACTGAGAGGGGTACCTGGGGGTGCTGGCAGGGTATTTGGGGGAGCTGGAGAGGTGTGTGTACTGAGAGGGTACCCGGGAGGCACTGGTGGGTTTTTAGGGGTGCTGGAGGGCGATTTGGGGGGTGCAGGAGGGGTATCTACCACATCTGTCATGACTATATAACCTAGTTGGCACCTGACCAGAAGGACCAATGAGGAAAGAAGATACTTTCAAACTGGGGGGAGGGAGGGAGGATTTGTTTGTTGTTCTCTTTTGTTGTTCCCTCTCTGGATGGAGGGAGAAGCCAAGCAGGTACAACATCTCCTGAAAATATGCCTGGAATAATCCATCTAAAACCACAGAAATTGTAAGTAGGGCAAGGAAATGTGTTAGGTTATCTTTTGTTTTGGCTTGTGAATGTTTCCTATGTTACAAAGATAGTTTTAGTCCTGTTTTTTAATCCTCTGTGTTTTAAATATTTGTATTACCCTGTAAAGTTACCTTCCATCCTGATTTTGCAGGTGTGATTCTTTTATTTTTTCTTTATTATAAAGTTCTTCTTTTAAGAATCTGATTGATTTGAGTGTCCTGAAGGCAAAGGGTCTGGTCTGTGCTCACATTGT